CATTCATAGGAAAATGGATACATATTGAAGATATACTCCTAAGTGAAATAAATAAGTCCCACATGTGTAAATACCAAATAGTTTCCCTGGTGTGAATATTCTGCAACAATGCATAAGATTCTAATAAGATTACTGACATTTAGAAATGGGAGGAAAGGAGCTAAAGGTGTAGGGAAGGTGTGATACGTAGGGGAAGAACAAAAAGGGAAAAGAAAAAAATGTGAGAGAATGAAAAGATGAAAATAAAGTGTTTGTAGATGGGGAGGGGAGGAGGGGGTGAAGGGAGGGCAGAGGTAAGGGGAAAAAAATGAGAATCAAGACTTGCCATGTAAAGGTACATGATCCCAACAATGAATGTAACTGTACTGTATCCCTAAATGTACCAATAAACTCAATAAAAAAAAATAAAATAAATAAAAAGAGCACTTTATGATTGTTTAATGTCATACTGTTCACTTATTAATCTTTGATTTAGCATGGCCCTCAAGGAGCCTCAGTTAAGTATCTGTCTGCCTCTGTTTCTGCACATTACAAAATGGTTACTAAGAATGTATGCTCTAATTAATATTTCATTGTCTGTGAAATATATCATGTACTGCTCATTTGCTGGCATTCTAGTTTGGTACATTACCATGTAATGTCCTAACGATAAAAAGGGCACCCTTCTTAAATCACTAAAGTATATATTTTGAGATTTTTTTTTCTTTTCCTAACACTGTGGTTAGACTAGTGGCCCTAATGTAGCAGACTAACTTCTGACTTTGGCTTTCTTTGACCAAAGTGTGCCTTGACAGGTAGTTGGATGTGGTCTCTGGTCATTAATCAAGGTAAAATTAACTGAACAAGTGAGAATTATACCCAAAATTTTGGCATAGTTATTTAACTAGCCATTAGCATGTTGTAAGACCGTTTGGACATCTTTACACTTAAAGCAGAAAATCAGTTTGTTTCTTTAACTGCAGCTGTGGGATGCTACAAATGGAAAATGTGTATCAACCTTAACAGGCCATGATGACGAAATACTTGACAGTTGCTTTGATTATACTGGAAGGCTTTTTGCAACTGCTTCAGCTGATGGTAGGTGACCTACTCATGTATTTAATTTATAGAGGAATTACTACCCTGCTTGTGTCTGTCCTGTGGATCATCACCCTGAGAAAAAGCAAGAAATGGTGGAAATTCTATGTACCTTTTCTCCACGATGACCGTACATGTCATTGCAGGGTGTCTGTTATACTCTTTGTTTTTTTCTGTGTTCTCACTCTTTATTTATTTTTTAAAATTTAATTTATTGGTACATTCTAGGTAAATAGTACAGTTACATTCATTACTGGGATCTTGTACCTTTACATGCCAGGTCTTGGTTCTCATTTTTTCCCCTTGTCCCCACCCTCCCTCAACCTCCTCCTCCCCTCCCCACCTTCAAACACTTTAATTCCATTTTTACATTTTCTCATATTTTTTTCCTTTTCCCTTATTCCCTTTTCCCTATCTTTCTCACTGTCCCTACACCTTTGGTCCTTTTCTTCCTATTTGCTATTTGTCCCGTTAGGATCTTGAGTACTATTTTAGTTTTACACACTAGAGAAACTATTTGGTATTTGCATATGCGTGACTTATTTATTTCACTTTGAAGTATATCCTCAATATATATCCATTTTCCTATGAATGAATCTTTCTCATTCTTTATGGCTGAGTAGTATTCCACTTTATAGAAAAACCACATCTTCTTTATCCAGTTTCCAATTGATGGGCAGATGGGCTGTTCTGCACTGCAAAAGAAACCATCAACAGAACTAAGAGACAACCTACAATGTGCGAAAAACTTTTTACCAGCTGCTCCCCAGGCAAAGGACTATTATCTAAAATATATAAAGAACTCAAAAAAACCAGCCCACCCAAATATAAAGACCCAGTTCTAAAATGGGCATCTGAAATGAATAGACATTTCTCAGACAAAGAAATAAAAGCAGCAAGTAAATATATGAAAAACTATACTCTTAATAATATGTCACACACTGTGTCGCGTCCTTACCTTATGACCACACGTACATATGCGCAGGTCTTTGTTTCTCCTGTAATAATCTGCAGCATCATTTTGTGCATTATGTCTGCCACATCTTTGTGATAAACATATGATGATATGCTTTGAATTGTCTTTTTGGCTACCTTTCCTAATTCTACACTATGTTTGGTCATCTTACTGATGACCATAAATATGGTGCCATATTAGGCAGGCCTCCATTCCAGGAAGAGCACATGTGGTACTGACACTGTATCTCTCATTTTCCCATTGGCCATGTGTGACAGTATATTGTGTGTCATTTCCCTGTTACCATGTATTATTGTACACTTCACTTGCACCTTATTCTTAAAAACCTTGCATGATGTTTTACTGTACCTGCCACACATGCAGTATCATACAGTCTGTATCACCTCCCTAACAACCACCTGTACTGACATACTCTGCATACATAACATCTTCTGCACTGGTGTACACTGCTTTGGGAGATTGGTACATACATAGATATCTCGATTATTTTCAATCCCTTTACCCCCCTCCATCTCCCCCCTCATTTCCTCCCCTGTTTCTAAGTCTGCCTTCTGATTTCCTACAATCTCTCCTTTGTTTTATAACCTTTTCTTTATGTTTTAAGTTTCTTATACAGGGAAAATGATACAATATTTAATTTTCTGAACCTGACTTATTTCACTTACTTTATGGTTTCATGTTCCATTCATTTTCCTACACATGATGTGATTTCGTTCTTTATGGCTGATGAGTGTTCCACAGTGTGGGAGAGCTTAATGTGAGATGGTAAGATACTATAAAATTTAGATCACTCTAAAAAGTGTATGTATAAAGGAGAAGAAAAGTTAGAAAAAGTAAAGAAAAGAGAAAAAAGATATAAGGGTGTGGAGCTGAGAGAAGAAGAGATGTAGGAGAAAATAATGAAGGCAGAGAAAGGAAGAGATTGTAGCTGGGAACGTAGAGAAGAGATAAGGAGCTTGTATCCAATCATTCAACTGACAATCTGTAAGAAATAGCGACTGATGTGGTCATATTGGCTGAACCACCTAGAACATGATATTCTCGCTCCAGCAGCTGTAGCCAGGACTCATATATCCAAAGCTCCAACAGTCAAAAAATAAAAGAAGAAAAAAAGGATGACACTTAACCTTCTCTGGTTAGGGGAACTTTTGAACAGGCTCGCCCATCCTGTTGTTCAGGGCACAGTGGTCAGGAGCCTCTGGTGTCCTCCACAGGCTGGTGGGTCACAGCACCCCTTCTTTGGCAGTGTCAGCCTTAGGCTCACGGGTCCATTTTCTGCCCCAGGCTCTGCTGTTAGCTTTACCCTCTCCACCTCTCGGACTCCAACACTCTGCTTACAGCTGTGCCCCTGCCCCACGGAGACTTCTTCCATCTAGGCGGGAGGCAGAATAGCATCCCTGTGTACCACTGGGCAGTTTTTCTTCACCTACTCTTCTTCTAGGTCACTGCTGTACTTCTGCTTGCTGAGTTCCTATCTGACCTATGAAGCCCATGGTTTTGAGCTTCTGCAGGGGCAGATTTGAAGTGCTTTCTCCACTTGCAGTGATCACATGACCCTGTTGTTCACCTTTCCTTGGGATCTCTTTCCAACCCTTGCATTCGGTATAGTTTGGGTTCTGAATTCAGTTGGCAGGAGAGAACTCTCACTGGCAGGACTCTGTGTCTTTTCCTCATCCCCGAATGGTACAGGTCACCACTGTTGCAAGCCCCTGTGTTTCTCATTGTCTCACAGATTCCAAAGTGCTGCTTCTGGATGCCCAGCCAGGACCATCCCTACCCTTCGCCACTGGGGCTTGGCAGGTCTCTCCCAGCTACTGCCTTCTGGGTGACTCCAGGTTGCCTTCCCACAGGGCCCTGTCCTATGAAGGCAAATATCTTCATCTCTGGGCCCCCTGTCCCAGCAGGAGAAGATCTGGCCTGGTGGGCACTGGGCAGTGACGACGAGACTGGGTGCCTCTGGGCAGCTGCTACCCTGGGTTTCATGTTTTCCAAGATGGCGCATTCACCAGACCTGGGCTGTGTGCTGTGCTGGGGTCCAGGAGCATACCTGCTTCTTATTCTGTACACCTCGTTACTGGATTGCATCTCTTGGCCTTCTCCTTCAAGTTGCCTACCCTTGGCTGGGTTCTGTCTCCATCCTGTAGCTGTGTGCTTGCTGCCATGGTGAGTCTCTCATGTGCCCTGGGGGGTCCTGCTACCTCTGGCTCACCAGGATGGAAACTGCTGTGGAAATGCTAGCTCCTTGTCAAGGTTTTGAGAATGATATGTGGTTCTGTAATATATATTATCTCCATAGTAAACACCTGTGGGTTTTACTGTTTGACTCAAGGCCTTGAGAGCACTCTATGAAGCTATATAACATTTCATCTTATTACTGTCATATATCACAGTGCAATATCATGTCTCTCTGGACCACATGTGTCCCTGTAGTCTGTCACGTCCTTGGTAACTATGTGAAATGCTACACATTTCCTCTTCCTGATAACCACGCTTAATGTTGAGTCCTAATATCTGCATCATGTCTCTTAGAACTCTGTACAGTGTGCTATAGTTCATCTCCCTGTGCACAATTCATCACATTACACTGTGTCTGTGTTGTCACCTTGAAAGTTACATTTGATGATACATTATTTATTTCTGCATTGTTCTGTTGACAACTGGTTTTCACGTTCCACAATGTCAGTCGGATTAGAAATGAGCGTGTGCTTTTTCAGTGCCTTTGCTAGCACCTCACAACCACGGGAGATGCAAGGTTATGCCTTCATTACCTCACTGTAATCATGTAGGGTTATACCTGTGCACCACCCTAAAAGCAGGATGCTACTCTGTACCTAACAATTTCTTTGGCAACCATGTGTGATTGTATACTGTATCTATGTTTTCTTAAGAGGAACAAATTTTCAGTGTGGTTCCATACATATAAATAAAGTCATACATGATGTTGTACCCTGAATAGTACTACTGATGACGATATATTATGCTGAGGTGTCTGTGGCATTAACTAGGTAGCAGATCTGGAATGACACTATGTCTGCAAAACCTGCTTATCGAGCACGCATGGTGCTATCCTATGACTGTACTGTCTCTTTGGTAACTGTATATGATATTTAAACTAAGGTTCTTCTCTTTAATAAAAACACATATCATGAATGTCTGTCTGTGTTCACTTCATCCCCTTGAAAACCACCTGCGAGGCTGTTCCATGTCTTGGTCATTCTTGATGACCTCATGGAGTGTTACACTATTTCGAATCACCTCCTAGTCACCACATGTGACATGTGCACGTTAGTGATGAGCGTGTTTGATGTTGTGTCATCTCTGGAAGGCAACAGAAGCCGCTACGCTGTTCATCATCTCTCTGCAGTGCACAACTGTACCTCGTCATTGTATTATCTGCCTGACGCCTCACTGTGTCTTTTTTACGTCCCTGACAACCGCACACCATGGCATACGATGTCTATGTTATTTGTTAACCTTGTACAATGCTCACTGTGTCTACCTGAACTTCCAGCTGCTGTAGCCAATCCTACACTGCACTGGAATTATCTCCTTGGTGATAGCGCATGGTGCTTTACTTTCTGTCTCATCCTGACTCTCAGGTGTGTGTGCGTCATCTTGTCAGGACTGTGTGCATTGCACCTAGGTCATCGCTCTGATATTCATAGGTGACATGACACTGTCTCTGCATCTTCTTTCCAGTAGGCACATTTGACCATAATATGGGTTTATTTTATCTCCCTCATGACTGCAAAAGACACCAAGCTATTGGCTTCCTCTCCCATGTATCATGTGTGATATCACCTGATGTCTGCATCATCTCTCCGGTGGCCACATTCCCACTCCGTCTTGTCGCTGTCTGTGAAAGCATAGCGTTCTGCAGTGTGACCGTGTCAACGTTCTGACGAGCAGGCACGAGTCTACACCACATCGAAGCTACCCTTCTGACAGGAATGCGTGAGGCTACATATGTTTGTCTGGTTCCCCCAAAGACCACAATTGGCTCTACATTATGTGTGCATAAATA